ATATAAGAACTGGAAGGGGGCCCTGAGCGTCATGCAGCCAGGCTCCTCGTCTGACAGATGGGGAAATGGAGGTGCAGAGAAGAGGCCAACCCTCCTCTGAGTTGCCCAGCATGTCAGTAAAGGAGTCAGAAGTCATACCCAGAGCCAAGCCAGCAGAACCCTGGGTGCAAACCCGCCCTTCTCTGTCTCTCTCCCCACTCCCTATGTGTATAGCACTCACAGCCCAGCACCTTTCAGAGCTTTTTATAAATACCAACTCTTTTAATCCTTACTGTAGCTGTATGGAGTAGATAAAATTATTCTCTTCAGTGAGAAAATTTCAGACTCAGAGGTAAAATAACTCCGGAGGTAACACTGCTTGCAGAGCCTAGAGCTGGGATTCAAATACAGGCCTCAGAATGACCGTTCAGGCTTCTCCATGCCACGATGATGCTACCTGGTGCAGGCTGGAGGGACGCAGAGGCTGATGGGGACACTGACTGCACTTCCTCCCCTGGACGTCACCTGGAAGTGGCCCTCCACTTCCTGGTAAAGCCCAAAAAGTGGCTCCACAGGGGAAAGGTCTGTGGGCCAACCCAAAGAAGCATTCCAGGGAAAACATTCCATCTTTCCACATTTCTGGTGACACTTCAGGCTTGGTGTGCCCAGTGGGGAAATCCCAGATTGGGAAGAAGTTTCTGGAACTTACTCTCCTTATAATGAGCCACGTGGCACTGGGAAACACATTGCCTCTTGGCTCAGTTTTCCCATCCGTACAATGACAGCTCTCCAGGTTTCTCTATAGTCCTTTCCAGATCTGATAATTTAGGATTTTGATAGGAATGCAGCCTTTCTGGACTGGACAAGTGTCTTAACACAAGACTCCAAAAGCTTGCTGGAAAAGCTGCCCAACAGTACATGGGAAAAGGCTGTTGATTCAAAACAGTTTTTTGGCAAGAACAAAGCACTGAATGTGTGCAGACTGAATTTCTCTTGAAACACAAGTGGGGAAAGGAATGTTTGTGAATGTGTCGCTTATGTGCTGGACACTGTTTCTGTTATCATATCCAGCTTTCCAACAAGCTTCAGGAGAGACTATAATATTTCCATTCAGTAGATGAGAAAACTGAGGCTCCAGTAGCTCAAGTGGTTGTCCCAGCTTGTAAGTGGCAATACTGGCACTCACCAGGCCTGAGGACAGCCCTCAGCTCTCCACTTCAGTCTTCCCTTCTCTGGGAAAGCCAGTCTCATCACCTCTCAGAAGCTCGGCTGAAGCTGCAGCATCCAGCAAGATCTAAGACCACCTTTCAGGTGGTGAGGTGTCCTGCTCTGATCCCCCAGAGAGGGCTTTCTCTCTGTGCTGAGATGCCACAGCCCGTGCAGCTTCCCGTTTGCCATTTCATCCACTGCTATGGCTTTATCTAAGCCTGTGCTCCAAAAATATATCATCTAAATCCATTCTGTGCATCTCCAAGAAGTCCACGTTCATCACATATTAGTCAAGGCCCTCTGCAATCTGAGCTTGACCTCGGTCCTTGCATCATCTCTCAGCTGGTGCCCCATGACACACCAGCATGTAAATAGTTGAGGAGTGACCGTGTCTTTTGCTGCAGGTGCCACCTCAGGCAGCGAAGACCCAGAGATGGGTAAGGTGTGAGTGTGAAGCTTGAGAAGCCAAGGGTCTGTGTGTGGGGGTGGGCAAGACACAAGCACATACAATACAAGTGACCAAGGTGATGGGGGTGAGAGCTGCAGGGACAAGCACAGAAGCAGAGGCTCTGGATAGGCCTGGGGAAGACCTCTGAGGGGGTGATGCTTGAGAAAAGACTTATGAAGTTCATGTAAATATTTCTGGGTGGCTGGGTGGTTACGAAACTGAAGGAATGAATAGATGGATAAATAAATACAATGTAGGCTTCTTAGGTCAGAGGTCATGGTTACACTTTTTTGAATCCTTTATGGCACATTAAAAAAATAAGCACTTAAAACATAGTTTTTCAGTTTTTCGGGATTTCTTCCATGTTCTTTCATGAGGCAGAATACACCAGTGCAGGGAGGTGCCTCTGTAAATCCCAGGCATAGGGTATAGACCAGCTGACAGACACTGAGGCTGGGGCCTGGCACCGCAATTCTACAACCATGAGAACTGAGGCCCAATAGGGAGAAGGTTTCTTTTTTTCTTTTTAAATTTCCTTTACACTTCAGATCAGTGCTGTGTGACTTGAACTCCCATCACCTGGACCCATGGAATGTGTTGGAACACTGGACCCAGATGAATCAAACTGAATCCCCCATGAGCAGGACCACTGGGGGCCCCTGAATTGACCTCCATGAGCTCCTGCCTGCGGATTGTCCGATGCCCCTCAGTACAGGCTTGGCCCAGTCCCTGGCCTCAAGCAAGTGGAGAAGCCATAGCCTTGGCCCCTCTGTTTAGGGGCGCTGCCTTCCCAGACTGATGGAGGCTTCTGGGTTTCTGCCCCTGAGGCACCATATTGGTATTGGAACTGGGCCTGATGACCAAAGTCCTGGGGATCCATCCTCTCCAAATACAGCTGTCTCTTGTCTTGACACAACCTGACTCTGCCCAAGTGACAGTCCTTTGCTTTGGTTTCCAGGCCTCTAATGGACCAGTTATCTTTCTTATAGAGGGTCTGGTCTTAGGGCATGTGATTTTATGGGGTCATCAATCATTCACTTATTGATTTAGCCAGCAAGGGCCATCTATGTTCCAGGTTCTACACTAAGTACTATATGCCTGCAGCCATGTGTTGAGTTGACTTTGTAAACTTGCTCACTAAATTCTTGAGACCCCGAAGGCAGAGCCTGTGCCTTAGTCCTCCTTGGGTCTGACCTGCAACTGGCATCAGCAGACAGTGAGGAAAGACCGAATGCCTGAAGGCCCGTCCCAGACCCCAGGCCAGGGTATGGGCCTGTCCCTCTGACTGTACCCTTAGGTGATAGCCAGGATATGAACCCACATGCCCATTATTCCACCTGAATCACTGCTGAGCTCTCCACACACTTTGGACATGGAGCCTCAACTTTCCTCTTGCTCTACAGCCCAGTCCTCCTGCTGGGTCAGGTCTCCAAACCTTGCTTGCTCCTGAACAGGGGCTGCACATCTGACCCTGGCCCCCTTGAGCACCAGAACTGCCCATCAACCATGCTTCCATGCGCCGCAGTCCTCAGTTATTCCAAATGCCACTTTCAAGTCCCTACAAAGTGAGAAGGGGCAGAGGGTCCACAGAGAGGAGATCTAGCCAGTAAACAAGCATATGGAAACATGTTAAAACTCTCAAAAGAACCGAGAGATGAAAACCCTAATGACTGGGGTAAGGGTTTTGCTTATTAACATTAAAATAATTAAATTTAATGTACAAACAAACAGAAGTCATGCTTTGGAGCCTGAGTTGGGGAACAATACTAGTCCCTGCCTCCCTTAATTATAAAGAAGCTTATGGAAAGCAACTTGGCAACGTGCTTCAAGGGCCATGAACAGGTTCATTTTCTCTGACCAATAATTTTACTTCTTGGAACGTAGCCTAAAGAAATAATTCTATATTTGAAAGTAAAAAATAAATAAATAAATCTATAGGTTTTAAAATGTCCACCAAAGCATAATTTTTAATAGTGAAAAACTGGGAACAACCTTAAATGATCAATACCAGGGGAACAGGCACATAAATTATGGTTTATTCATTCAATGGAACATTGTGCTGTAATTTAAAATAAGTTTCTCCTACAGCAGCATGGAGAAAACACTGCGTGTAGAAACAACAAACACGACACAACATCGAATATGTGATGTGTGACTATGTAATAGGAAGACAGAAGAGTAAATCCTACAGAAAATGTGCCAAAGCACTTGCTACAGTTGTTTTGGGATGGTAGAATTATAATTAATAGTAGCTATTTTTCACAGTTTTCCAACTACATGGAAATGAAACTAAATTACTTAATAATACAAACAATCCTTATAAAACTAGGGGCTGGGCAATTAGCTCAGTTGTTTAGAGAGTGGTGCTGATAACACCAAGGTCAAGGATTCAGATCCCCTTATTGGCCAGCTGTCAATGAAATAAAATAAAATAAAATAATAAATAAATAAAACCAGAGAAACATGTATTGTAGAAAGATAGAGTGGGGTAGACTCTGAAAAAGTGTCCGGACATGGCTTAGAGCTGGAAGGCCACGTCCCAGTTCTTGGAATACTTTGCCCCGGATCTTAAGGAGCTCAGCGAATGAGCTTGGTAGAAGATGACGGGAAATTCAGTGCCAGCTGCCGTTCCAGAAAGTGGAGGTGGGTGGGATTTTCAGCCCTTGGTTCCCACCTAGTTGGACTTTGAGCAGTCTGTGCCTCAGCACACATGGAAGAACCAGACCTGGCAATTTTTTCCTTATCACATGGTAACATGCATCTGAAGGAAAGACCAACCTGAGCCCCCTTTACATATGCTGTCCCCTCCGGCAATCAACATGTAAGAGCCTGAGCTTAGGCCAGTAAACAAGATGTGGAGAATGAGGCTCAAAGGTGGGACAGCAATGCCACCACTGTCACCACTAACCCTCCCTTTTGTTTGAGACAGAGTCAAGGTAACTGAGGAGCAGAGAAGCTATGTAACTTGCCAAGTAACCTGGCAGCAATCAGGCCCCTTGGGGTCCTAATCCAGAGCTCTTTTAAAACCTCTTTGGTATGGAAATCTCTGCCTCAGTGCAGATGGATGCAATGCCTGCAGGAGCAAAGACCACAACTTTCCTGGTACAGCTTACATTTAGAGTGGGAAACTAACACAGTGTCTGCACACATCCTGACCAGCCACACACAAGTGCACACACATGTGCACACATGCACACACACACCCATACACAAATGCACACATGAACAAAACACACATGAACAAATGTGCACATGCATGCACATATGCACATTTTTACACATGCACAGAGTGGACAGTCCCAGGTACCCTCTCCCGCTTTTCTACGGGAAGCTGTATTGATTGATCAGCATAGACTATAAATACCTTTTCTCCTCGAGTTCCCTTTTCACCTCGTTCTCCTTGGAGACCCTAGGGAGAAAGAAAGAGCAGTGACACACATCTCAGTCTGGCTTACCTGTGCCTACTGTCTGAGTGCCTGTGGACAAACTGCCCGTCAGCTGCTGGCCAGGGTGGAGGGGATGGTAGCTTTGAAGACCCTATCTCCCCTGTGATCTAACACCACAAAGCAGCTACAATTCTCCCCAGGCCTGGGAGGCTGAGCCAGGCCTCTTCAAGGATGAAAGGTGAGCCCTTGGGGGATGGTCCCCTGCCTGGGCTAATCAGGTCCTTATGCCTACAGACTGGGACACATCCTGGCTCCTGAGCTCACCTGGCCAAGGGCAGAGATGTGGCTTTGGAGTCAGTCCCCACCACTACCTGGAGCCTGTGATTTCATCATGATCATGAATTACAGGAAGAGGCCCCAACATTGAACTGGAAACTCTGGCCCTTTAAGCCACATCCCTCCACCTCCCCCCAGGGAGAGTCATTGCCCCATTCCTGCATCTCCCGCACCTTCCTCTAGAGCAGCACCCAGACCCCATGCTGTGAATTCCCTGCCCCTCTGTGCACAGGCTTGGTGAAAATGCCAGCCAGGATGTGAGCTTCTCTGAGCACAGGATCTAAAATACGATCACCCCCCATCGCCCAATGGTCACTCTCTAGCCTCTCACCACACCTTACCTGTCTGACAGTGCTCAGCCCTAGGTGACATACCTTCCACCTCCCCCAAGTGAAATGAAAACCCCATGAGGACGGTTCCTTCAATACTGTATCCCCAGAGTCTAGAGCAGTGCCTGCCACTTGGTAGGCGCTAACAAGCATTTGTTGAATGAATAAAACATTCAATGAGTGACTGTGTCAATCACTTGATTAGCACAGGAATTCTGTAGAAGTTTTGCCTGAGGGCTACTGTCTCATTCTGTGGTGCAGAACGTCAGAAGGATGCATGTCCCTGCTCTTCCCAGACACGTAGTATCACACAGTGAGATACTGCACCCCAGCACAAGCTGAGGACAGCACATCTCCTCCCGGACAGGGGCCTCAGGCCAAGCCCACAGCTCCGTGCGGGGCCCTGCTGGGGGGGCATGAACGGGTCCCACATAACACTACGTGAACTCCTTATGCGGTCCCCTCTCTCTCCCCTCCTTTCTTGGAGAAAGGACTCTTGGACATTCAATGGTAAGGATGTTAAAGATGGCAGATACTGCCTTGACCTACTTGCTAATTCCAGGAATAATACATGTATCTTTGGCTTCTAGAGAAGAGTATAGGGCCAAAGTCACAAGAAGCTGTCCTGGAGAGCAGAAGATTTGCAGGACCACCGAGGCCTTAGGGGCAAGTGGACATCCATGATGTTTTAACATATTTTGGCCAGAAACACAGAGCTCAGAGGTCTTAAATGCCCTCAAGGCCATGCAAGCTGCTTTGTTTGAAAGTGACTTTTCATACTGCTTCTTTCATTTGCAGATAATCTCAAATATTTCCTGTTGAGAATCAAGAACAGGGTTAGATGCCCAAGAAGCCACTTGGCTCTTTATGTACCGTATCTGTTTGTTCATCCCATATTCACTGGAAACAGTGAACACGTAGCATGTGTCTGCATTGTTCTAAGGGAGAGGAACGCAATACATCCCACCTTGTTCCAGGAGTAGAGGACTGAACAGGTGGGTAAAAACAGCTGCTTTAGACCAAGTGTCAGAAACTCATGGTGTGCTGGTTAATATGCAGATTCCTGGGCTCCTCCCTGCTACCTTATCTATGTGCACTTAAACCTGTTCTCCAGGTGATTCTTAAGCATGGTAACATTGAAGAATGTCTGGTTAAAGAGAAGAGAGAGCAACACCTCACTGCCATGGATATGTGCAAAACAGCAGGTCCCAACTGTACAGATGGAGGTGGAGGGACTTGCAAGACAGCCTGGGTCCTGATTCCTGGAGAAGGGGACAGAACCCCTCCCAGACAAATGTCTTTACTTACGGGAGCTCCAACATGTCCAGGAAGTCCGGGAAGTCCAGGCGGTCCTTGGGGCCCCTGCAGAAGAGCGTTCATGAAGCAAAGGTTTGCAGATGGAAAGAAAAGGCAAGAGCCGAAGAATCGCTCAGTCAATAACCATGGGTGGTGATAAGATCTGCCGCTTCTCGCCCCACCAGGAGCTCCATGTGCTGCTTCTATGAGGTTTGTAGACCCCTTGACCTCTGCTTCCCTCCTCTACGCAGAGCTCTGGCCATCTGCCACCTGGAGGCACCAGGATTCACACCCAGATCTGCTCCACTTCAAGGAACAGCTAACAGAGTGCGCCCCGGAGCCATCATGAGGCCAAATGCGACAATTCCCATTTCCACGTGCCCCATTTCCTTTGGCATTCCTGAGATCTGGCCTGGATATGTTCACAGCTTCTGAAACAACCCAACTGGTGCCTGCAGCTCATCATTCACACTTCACCACGGGGTCAGTACCACTGGGACGAGTCCTGACGAAGAGCCCAACAGAAGTCGGAAGAGCCTGGAGGCTCCACCACTACCCAGACCGGAATTGCCACAGCTTTTGAGAAACTGATGTGGAAATAGCTATTAAAATCTACTAAAGTAAAAATGTGCATGTCCTGAGCCAAGGGTACACCAACTTCTTTAACCTATCTTACTGCAATAAAATATAGTACACAGATACTATACTGTACATCCACACATACACATATAGTACACATGCACACACACATGCACACATTTATTGCTACATTAATTTTAATGGAAAACAAATGAAATTAGAAACAATATTCAGGACCATAAATAGGAGAAAGGTTATATAAATTACAACACATCCATATCACAGAATACTATGGATGGATTAGGAGAATGGGCAGGGTCTATCTGTATTTATGTGAAAAGATGTCTCTAATCTCTTGTTAAATAAAAAAGATGAAAGGCCAAGTATGATATAATCCATATTTTGGAAACATCAGATGTGTGAATATGATTTTTATTAAATTCTTAAATTAGGATAACTCCTAAATATGCATGCAGTTATATGAGAAGGGATGGAAGGGACAAATTTGTTTTGCATCAGGACGTGGCCCCTGGGAATGTGGGACAAGCACAGCTCCCAGTGACACTTACCCGCATGCCGACCTCACCAGGCAGCCCCGGCTCTCCCAGCTCTCCTGGCTCCCCCTGCACACACAAAACAGCACATGGCCATAGCCTGGCAGGACACAGGCTCGGACACAGGCTCAGGCACAGCAGAGAGTCCCAGAGCCTCATGGGGTGCCTGTTCTCTGCAACTCAGAACTCAGCACAGAAATAAGGTAACAGGTGATCAGGGGCCCAGGCTCCCTTGGATGCTTTTCCTATAAGCAAAGACATCGATTCTCACTGCATACAGTGTTTATCTCAGCTCTGACTCAATCCTGCCACAAGAGGGCAACAAAATTAAATTTGGACAGAACAGGGACAAAGCATCATGACTGAAGTCATGCTGATGGCTGTCTTCATGGAGCAGGATTTTGGCTACCTGGGAAGTGAGAGGGAAGTGAAAAGGGAGTCCAGGGATTCATGGAATTTCCCTTTCTCTCCAGGTTCCCAGGAGCTCTGACATTCTGTCCTGAAATGCTCCTAACTGTGAACTAATGGGGTGCTCCCAAGTCAGGTTTCTACTTTGAGACCTGATCACACGTGGCTCAAAATGACAGAGTAGAGAAGTAGACATCCCAGAACCAATTTCCATCTGGGTTCTTGGTGGAGAAGAATATCCCTCCTTCCTTGGAGCAGACTGACAAACCAGAGCTGAGATCACTTTCTGCCTGGGTGTCTGGAGTGTGTTCCCTCTCCAGAAACTCAGAGGCAGGTGGGGTGAAGGAGTGAAGTCTGGAATAACGGTAAGAGGAAGGCTGGCTGGCCATGCAGGGCATGGGGTACTGCCTGGGTCTTGCCCCGACTCCTCTAGCTACAAGCTGAGGACTTGGAGAAATCCCTCACCTCACTGGGGCTGGTTCCAAGTCTAGGAATTGGGGATAACAAGACCTCCAGGCAGAGCGGCCTGTCAACTAAGTGAGAAAATAGCTTCCAAAAAGGTGCAGGTGATGCCCGGGTGTTTTTGTAACCCTTTAGCTGAGCTCCAGGGATGTGGGAAGATCACGGTACAAATAAGCCCCAACTCAAGCCTGGCCCTGGCAATGGCCACCCCCCTCAAGGACACAAGGCTTTGGCCAGGAGGCCCCCTGACCAGGGCTGCCATGTGGGCTAGGGCTGTGAGGACAGAACTCACCCTCACGCCTTTGCTGCCATCTCTCCCAGGGGGACCGGGTGGGCCCAGTGAGCCCTAGAATAAGAGAAAGAGAACAGCAACTAGTAAAAAACAAGGAAAACACTGGGACAGACTCTTGAATCCTGGTGCATAGTGGAGAAAGTGCCAGGCAGGGAGTTGTGGCCAAGCCTTTGCTACTCAAGCTTTTGCAACTCACCAGCCCACAGCCTTGGCATCAAATGCAGATGTCCAGGCTTCACTCTAGACCTACTGCATCAGGGTCCACATTTTAACAGGACCCCCAGGTGATCTGTATGCACCTGACAGTGTGAGGGAGAAGCTCTGGTCCATAACCTCTCCTGCCTGGAGTGTGGCCCTTCCTCACTCTGGGCACCGAATCATCCATGTAAAGTGGGGGGCTGCAGTGGGGCTCTCAGCTTTGGCATCACAGACATTGGGCTGGACGTATCTTTGTTGTGGGGGTGCCCTGTGCATTGTAGGATGTTGGGCAGCATCCCCAGATGCCAGTAGCACCCTCCAATTGAGACAAGCAACATGTCTCCAGATATTGCCAAATGTCTCCTGGGAGTCAAAATCACTCTTTGTTGAGAACTACGGGCTAGAAATTTTCTATTTTCATGGGGATGAACTCCAATCTAATGAATCTCAGGCATACACATGTGACAAGCACGAATATGGAGCAGCCGTGGGGAGAAGGGGAGCCCCTGGACCAGGCTCCTCCTGCCTTTTTTGTTTGTTTGTTTACCTCTACACACTTCCCTGCAGAGGGCCTGGGGAGGAAATCTTAAAAAGGGAACTCTGGGATCACTAAGCTTCCATCCAGTTCTGAAACCGCTTGGTTCAGATCAGTAGATTCTGGCAGGGACCTTCTGCCTGGCTCTCCCTTCCCTCAGCCTTCCGCATGACACTGAGCAAGGAAATGCTTCTCTCTGGGATTTTTTTCCATCTGTAAAGTGAGGCTGTTGGCTATTCAATGAATAATCAAACTGATGAATCTAAATGTAAAGTTTACAAAACACTACGTGCTAGAGTGTATTTTTGCATACATTGTCTTATTTTTTTAAAGATAATTTATTATACATATATGTGGGGTACGGAGTTGACTTTCAGTAGTTGTATACAGCGTGTGATGACCAGATCAGGATAGTTGGCTTATTCATCATTGCCATACGTAGTCATTCTTTGTGTCCACTAACCAATTTCTTGTTAACTCCCCTCCCCTCCACTTTTCTACCTCCAGCAGCCACAGTTCTTTGCTCTCCTTCTAAAAGTCCTCATAATAACCCTACACGACAGATATTATTTTCTCAAAGGCACATCAGACATTACATATTTCTAGTTTTTATCTACAAATTAACATGCATGCACACACACACTCATATGTGCTTTTAAAATTTCTATGAAACGCCTTTTATGGTCTCAACATTCTAAGTTAGTGTGATCTTGAAGAGAAAAGTGGACAGATGTCTCTGTCCCTGTCACCAGACAGACATGAGTCTGTCCCAGCTCTGCACTTTCTGGCTGTGTGACCTTAAACAATATTTATATTAAAAATGCTGTTGCTGATAGTTCTTTACTGCAGGTTTACAATGTGCAGGTGCTGAGCACATTACATTCACCTCAGCATTTAGTTTGTCCCCACAACAGTTCTATAAAAGAGAGGCAATTATTATCTCCATTTTTTAGTTTAGAAATGAAAGCACAGAAGGGTTAAATAATTTGCCCAAAGTCACAGCATTTGTATGTAGAAGAGCTAGACTTTGGGCCCCAGAGCATGTTCCTTAATGTCTGCACAACACTTTAACAGTGTTTGCACACACATCAGTGTACTGGATGCTTGGCAGACCTGAGAACTAAATACTGTTACCCTCACTCTACATCTGAGCACACCAGGGCACAGAGAGGGACAGTGACTTTCTCACGGCCACCCAGAAGTCCCCGTGGCAGAGGGAGGCAGGTCGGGGCAGCTAACGCCTGAGTACTCAGTTGCTGCTCTCCAGGGAGCACGCTTCTCCTCTTCCCCTCAGTCAGCCTGGCTTCACTGAGATTACTGGAGCTCCATTAACTGCCTCATGGGAGGCAGACGCTCTACGGAAGGCTAATGTCAGGAACAGGGTGGGCTCAGCTCCCCAGATGCCCCACCCATTTCCAAGACCCAAGCTCCATCTCCTACCCCCTGATGCACTGACCCAAACAAATGGTTCGTGCATTTCCTGATGGTGGAAACACCAGCCCCCTTAACTCCACCTCCCTCAAACCCTAGGATTAAATTCAAGATTTTCTAAAAGAGGAAGCATCCCAAAAGAATAAGGATTTCCTCTGAGAAAAGGCCTTGATGGTGCTTCCCTCCAGAATCAGACCTGTTGGGGTGACTTAGTGCAGAGTTTGCAGGAGACATTGGTTACCCACATAAGACGGTGGGTCCTTGAATGGCCAGTCTGTCTCTGGTGTCTGCAGGTTGGGAAATCCTGCAGCTCAAAGCAGGGAAGGGATGTCTCAATGGGCTTCTGCCTCAGGAATAAAGGTGGGGAGCAGCAGCGTATTTTTGCTGCAAGGACCATCTAATAAAGGGAGTCAGGGATGAGAACAGAGACAACGCCAGAGAGAACTCTAGAGAGTTCCAGAGCCTTTGGAACTCATACACATAGTTGCTGTGTTTCTAGGCTTGTGCATCCTTTAAAATAGATGGCCAACAGATATCTGTGTGAATCTGTCTCAAGAACAAGACAGCAGCTCTGTGGGGGGGAGAGCAGGACGTAACTACCTCCATGTCACTGGCACCTAGCTTGGTGCGGGCTCCGTGGGGGCTCTATGTGCTCAAATTCTTCCAGAGCTTTGCAGGCTTGTAAGGGTAGAAACTGGAAAACTCTCCTACTTTAAAATTATTCTTCGGGGGGTTGTAAGCCCCAGAAACAAAGGGAGCAGCCAGGTGTGGTGAAGAGGTACTGTCCCTAGAGCAAGTGAGTCACAGCTTCAAATTCTCCCCCCATCACTTAGTACTAATGACTTTGGCCATGTTAGTAAAATGCTCTGAATCTCAGTCTTCATCTGTAAATGGGATTGCCAACCTAAATTCAGGATCTGTGCTTCCCAAAGGCATAGACAACAGGCAAATTGATTTGGGATGACTGGTGCAAACGAGCCAGCCATTCTGCTTTATTAGGGGGCTGGGCTACCTTTGCTGTGTATTCTAAATAAGTGTCTCTTGGGAAGTGAATATTTTATGTGTCAAAGAGGGTAAAGCCTATTTTTGAATTTAATATTATGGGGTTAAGATAACCAAACTGGCACTGAAATAGATGTATTTCCACCCTCAAGTCATTATGAGATCCAGGCATTTCATTAGATGGGTCTTAGCCCTTATGAAATTTTTGCCACCAACCTGACCCAGATATTTTACTGATGTTAAGATTACTGTCACCTAATCTTAATGCTGCAATACCATCATGCTCCTGTGATACACCTTCCAAATTCTCCATTTGAACTGCCCACCAGCTGACTGCAGTGGCTTTGAAAAGAGAAAGTTACGGCCCTAGGCTGCCCATTCATATCCCAGGGGAAAATCGCTTAACCTCCCTGAGCCTCAGTTTCACCATTTGTAAGTGAGCAGAGGTTTTCACTGCTTTCAGATGAGAAATAAATGTGGGCATAATTTGTAGATCATAAAATATTATTAAAACACATCTTGTTTGTATTCTATTAAGAACATTCCCCCCAAGTCCATGGGATGGGTCAGTTAAAGGACTGGGGAAAAGACTAGAGGTTGCTCTGAAATTGATAAGGTCAGACATAAGAAGAATTTCAAAGAAAATGTGTAAGGCAAGATCCACAATAAAGTACAGAGGGGAAAAAAGAAAAACAAAATAAAAGGGAAAAAGGAAGAAAGGAAGAGAGAGAAAGAAGAAAGGAGAAGCACTTGATTGGAGAGAGAAGTTCTGGATTCTCATGCAGCCTGCGTCTCACGCTAGCTGAGCAGAACAAACTACTTGCCCTCCTGTGTCTCAGCCCCATCACCTGTGAAAGGTAATGGTACCTCTGGCCCAAGGCAGTTGGTAAGATGCCTTGAGACAACACTGGGGGAAATACGTGTATAAAGGGAAATTCAAAACATGCATCAGTTACTGTTATTTTGGGTAGATTACACAAGCCTCCGTTTTTCATCTATAAAAAAGAAATCAACATTCAGGTTGTTAGTAGGATGACAGCAGGTAATACACGTGAAATCCACTGCAGAAGATGACAAGAGGGTCTTCCCCAAGTTCATGCTGGCAGTTATGATTCACAATCGGGCTTGATTTCAAGCCCAGGCTCTGGCCTCTCTCCCATCCCTGCCTCCCCACCACACACACACACACACACACACACACACACACTTGCCTCCATGATCCCACTTGGAGACCCACGGGAAGACAGCCATCTAGCAGGAAACCACCCACCCACCCACACCCTCTTGTCACTATCCAGAGCCCCAGGGATCACACTGTCACCTCATCAGGCACGATACAGGGAAATGAGAGGACAGATGGTTTCTCTTTTGGTTGATTAAATATCATGACTTATTTCTAAATGTTGACAAAGAGATTGCTTCATTGCTAGAGTTGCTATGTCAGTAAAATTCTTCCTCCATTTGGTAGGAGACAGAGGAGGCCCTTCAGATGGGATCTTAGGAATACTCTAGACATTGGTCCTCAAAGTGTGGCTCTTGGACCAGCAGCATCAGCATCACCCATGGCCTTATAAGAAAGGCAAATTCTCTGGCCTCACCAAAGACCAACTGAATCAGACACTAAGAAAGTGGGTCCTCCAGGTGATGTGAATGCTGGCTCAAATTTGAGAACCACTCAGACAAATGCAGGCTGAGAAGTCAGAAAACATGAGCCCAAATCCTGGCTCAGCCACATAGAGAGGTAAAGTCACTGGTACTGGACCCCACAGGTAACAGCCTGTAAAAAGAGGACAACAATATCCACCTTGAAAGTTAAACTAAACAGTGTGTGCATGAATCCCAGCAGACAGTAGGCACTTGTAAACACTAGGTACTGCAGTTATCATTG